AAAAAAAAAAAAAAAAAAAAAAAAAAAAAAAAAAAAAAAAAAAAAAAAAAAAAAAAAAATAGATCAACATAACCTGATATAGACGCCTCAGAATTGTCTCTTGGGAAAAAAGAAAATCCAACATGAGGTGGCAAAAGGCATTCTGGTGAGGTGGCCAGTTCTATCTTCCTTCAGAATCTATACTAATTCATTTGCTCCCAGACCTCAGAGAAATGTAGGTGTTCAAAATTAAGTGACAAATCCTCATTAACCTGTTTATTTTTCCTTGTAAAGAGAGAAGGAAAAAATCTTCCATACAAGCTTTTTTATTTTGTTGTCTCACCTTTAAAACTTTGATTTTCTTTATTTTAAACTAAATAGCAGGAAAGGGTAAAGGGAAACTTAAATTTGACTCTCTGTGCTTCTAATAAACAGAACCATATATCAATTTCTGCATGACTTCCAAGTTGGAAACCTGTAAAAATAACATGCCTTAGGTGTAGAATGTCGATTCACTGAGATAGATATAAAGTATAATACCCATCATCTTAGTTCTTTATTTTTTTGTTGAAGGATTTCCTTGCTTTTTGTTTCTATTGTCTTTACATTTATAAATTGATTTTTGAGTAAGGATATATGATAGATAATTTTTCATGTTAAGTGTGAATTTCAAAACATTTTTCTTCAAGGTAGTTTCAATTTATTTCTCCAATTTTTATCCTCTATTGCACTAAATCCACAGTTTCCTAAAGCTTTGTTTCTTCATTAATATCCTGTTGCAATGTACACAGATATGAAATCAAATCCAATTTCTATAACACCTTTCTTTAAAGATATTTTTAATATTGAGTAGATTCAAAATAAAATACTTTGCAAAAAGCATAAACAATAATAATAATGAATGGGCACAATGAACACTTATGATCTACTTCACTCTTTGAAACTTCTTCCCCTCGATTTCTTCATTTCATTCTCATGAGAAAGGTCACACACTATTCTGCTGAGTTTACTGTTGAAAACAGAGGCACAGAGAGCCAAGTCAACTTGCATAAAATGTTGAAAAGCTAGGGAGGTGGGTGGGTAGGACTATGACCCCTATTTCCTGAAGGAACCATGGCACAGGGGTTCAGAGTACAGACTCTGGAGCCACAGTGCACCTGACTTTGAGTCCTGGCTCCACTCCTTACTTTGTGATGTTGGGCAAATTCTTTACTTTCTGTGTGCCTCATCTGTGATAGAACAGTAGTTGTCTTGAGGATTAATTAAATAAATATAAAATGCTTTAGAGACAGGGCCCGTCCCTGGTAAATGATCACTATTTTTATTTCCAAGTCTCAGTTTGATGATGTTTCTATCACTGTTTATCAGTACACCTCACTGTTACTTTTTTCTCAAAGCAATTTTCAGGTGAAGCAATGAAAACTGTTCATATCTAATATAATGCTATAAGTGCAAAACTCTACTAGTATTAATAACGCTAACTTCAACTTTAATGGAAGACTATTTAATATGAAAGACCCACCTCAAACTGAAACAAATCACTAATGGAAAGACCAGAGATGCATGAATGATAATGTATAGATATGCTTTTTTATTATTAATTTATAGGGGGAAAAGTAGGTTTTAGTGTGCCACTTTAAAAAATACTCAAGGTGATGGAAAATAAAAAGTGGTAGAATTTCTGTTTCATTGTTTATTTGTATTTCACTCTTAAAATAATGCACAAAATAAGTATTTGTCACAAGCACTTAGATGTACTGAAAAGGTTTGTTGGAAAAGAAGAGAAAATGCTATGACAATACAAATTTTATTTCTTTCTAGATTGATGGAAGGAACAATCTCCTAACCATCTATGGAAAGACTAATCTTACCTCACAGAGTCACAGCACCTTCAGGCTAGAGTATATAAAACTCTTTGTTCTACAAATGAGGAAAGTGAGGCCTAGGAGCCATGTGTGCAGCCAAACGGTGACAAAGACCAAACTAGATCTCCCATCAAATTAGT